TTCTCCCTCCCTCTCCCTCCCTTTTCCCTCTCCTCCCTTCTCTTCCCCTCCCCTCCTGTCCTCTCCCCCTTCTCCCATTTCCCCTTCTATTCGCACTGATCTGCTTCTCCCTTCCGGGACCCTTTCCTCTTCCCAGCTTCTCTGCTTTTTCCTGCTCTTTTTCTAATTCTTACGCCCCCTGATTCTGTGTTTGAGGGGTGCTTTTCATGATTGGAGAGGAGCCCTCTAGTCCGGCTGGTGAGGGAGCGGGGGCGTCGCCAGCGGTGGTGACTTCAGACATACACCGTTAACCCACGCTAGGCGGGCGGATGCGTCCCTTTGGCGCAGAGTCCCACCCCCTTCCTCCCTCCTCCTGCGCCTGCTCCGCTCTTCTTCTTTAGTGCTCGTTTGGGAGAGATGACAACTTCTAGATTACAGATTAGTTCACTGTCTCGAGAAAAGGGGCAGACTTGAGCAGCCTAATCCCGACTTGGGGAGAGTGGGGGTTGTGTGCGGTGCTGGGGAGCCGTCTCCTGGGTTGTGCAGGAGCCTTGGGGACCCGCAGATAGGACGGCATTGTTGCTACCCGCTTTCCAGCATTTACTTCTGCAGTGTTTTTCTCTTCAGATTCTTGTCTTGATCTGGTGCCCTTTGATGTAGGAGATGGATTTCATTGATCCCGCAGCGGACTAAGTAGTCACTTTCCTGACTCTCCTCTTCCCATGAGGTTGAGGAGGTTACCCTGCCCATTCTCATGCCTCCCCCAGACCCAAGGCCTGCTTGGTTGGGAGGAGCAAGAGAGATTGGGTGGTGGACTGAAGACCGTGGGGCGTCTCTGTCCCTGGGTGTTGCTGGTGTGCTGGCTTGCCTTTTGCTTGTTGCCTGGTGTCCTTGCTGGGTGTTTGGAGCTTAGCCACATCCTCCTGTGGCCCCCTCCCCCCATGGTGCCCCCTTGTTGGGGTTTGTACACCTAGCACCTGGTGGGGCCTGAGCAGCCTGTTGAATGGATGCCAGACCTCAGGACCTCACCCTGCTCGGAAGGAGGGGCCAGGCGTTCTCTCTCAGGACAGTGGGCCTGTGTGTGCTCCCTTCTGGTCGAGAGCCCGAGAGGTGGAGGTGTGGTGGGGAAAACCCCCTCCCGAGTGAGCCCATGTTCTTTCTGGAAGCTCCCCTCCGCAGCAGGGAGTTGCAGGGGCTGGCTGCCATCACGTCTAGCAAACTCCGTTTGCTCCAGGTCCCTTCTCCCAGGGTCCTGACAGTAGCGGCTCCTTGGGTCCGGGCACCTCCTCCTGGCTCTGAGGTTGCTCTGGGGTCCAGGATGGTGGAGCTGGGCTCTTTGTTGGGTGCTTCTCTCCCCCACCTCCCCCGAGGCAGGGAGTACAGTTTTCTCTCCACCGTGTAGGTTGTTGACTTTCAGAGGCCGGTGGGTTTCTGGTGACCCTTCGCATTCTGGGTCTGAGCACCTGTTGCCTGGAGTGAGGTTGGGCTGGTTGGCAGGGCTCCGTGCCAGCTCAGACAGCTGCGGCGGCCGCAGTTAGCCCAGTGAGGTAAGGCTGAGGGGTAGGACTGCTTTTAGAGAGGCCGCTGCCTTGAGCAGAACCTCCTAAACTCCTTGTACCAACTTCATTCTCAAGTAGGGCCTGGAGCAGGCTCCTTGGCAGGGAAATACAATTTTAGAAAGTAGGGCAGGGGCCTAATTACCATCAGCTCCAAAGTCCACTGTTTCCTGGGGCCTCTGCGTATTCATTAATTTATTAAAGTGAATTGACCACTTTGGTGTTAATTTCTCCTCCATCTGCAAGAATATGTCGTGTGGTAGAAAGTAGCCAGTCTTCTGAAGAGCTGCAGCCCTGGATTCTTCCAGTGGTAGCAGTTTGGAAAGTGCCCTAATCAACTCCCTAGGTGACTTCTCAGGAAAGCTGTTAGCAGACCCACCTCCCTGGTCCTCACTGAGTGTGTGTGCGTTATCTGATGGAGCCTTGAGCTTCTGCTCTCAGAGAGAGGGGCTTGGTGTTGCCCATCTCGCACCAGCCATGACGCAGATGTCTTGTATCCCTAGGGCATCTTAGCTGCTGCCTTGATGGCCACCTTCCTGCTTATCTCAGTTTTGTTTTAAATGAGGTCAGAGCATATTCTCCAGCACTTTTTCTTCACCAGGACAGTGCTCAGAGCCGCACCCTTTGGAGAGAGTGCTAACCTGGAAGCACTGCCTGTTGCTAAGACAAAAGGCTCCCGGGGCATATGTGTGCTTTGCTGTCTAGGTTCACTCAGTGATCTGGGGGGGTCTTGGGAATGGGGGATGGCAGGTGTGCACTTGAAGGGTGTGTGTGCTTCCTCTTCAGGGGCTGGGGGATGCTTCACTGGCCTTTGGGAGATCTTAGGGTAGCAGCTGTCCTTGACCTCAGGGAATTTTATTTCCACAGCAAAGCGGATTACCCAGAGGACCTGGCCCTGACAGGGTGGGGTGCGCCCTGGTGAGGGGAGGGCGTAGCTGGTTGCCAAACCAGTCACCCAAGGCTGATCTGCCTCAGTGTCCTGAACGTCGATGACTGATACAGCTGGAAGGAGCCTTGGAAAAATCTAGTGGAACTTCCTTGTTTTTGGACATGAGGAAATTGGGGTTTGAGAGCGGAAGTGACAGGTCCAGGGTCACCCTGCCAGCAGGTGGTGGAGGCAGGCAGAGGACAGACCTTCGAGGAGACTGTTGGGCTGTCTCTGCCTTCAGTTAACTGGCGCAGGCCACCTCCTTGGAAACACCTCCCTGTTCCTCTGTTGCTGTGGCAAGTCAGTTGCTGAGTTGGGCTTGTCTCAAACCTGTTCCCCTCCTTTCCGGGCCTCGTCTT